CCCCGGTTAGGGAGAGTCTTTCTTTCCTTTCCTTTTTTTTTTTAACTCTGAAGAAAGAATTTTTATTCTTGCCCATTTCACTGACCAGGAGTGTGACTAGAACCAGTGGTTCCCAGCCAGGGACAGTTTTGCTGCACAGGGGACATTTCTCAATGCCAAGAGACTTTTTTTCTTTTACATTACATCCTCAGATCTTATTTATCTTATAAGTAAAAATTTGTCCCTTCTGACAACCTTTACCCATTTTTCTGCACCCCTGCCTCTGGCAACCACAGTCTGTTCTGCTTCTGTGAGCTCCTCGTTGTAGATTCCTTATGTAAGTGAGATCGTACGATGTTTGTCTTTCTCTGACTCATCTCACTTAGCACAATGACCTCGAAGTTCATCCATGTTGTAGCAAATGGCCATATTTCCTTGCTTCTCATGGCTGAATTTTATTCCACCAACGTACCACGTGTTCTTTAGCTGTTTCTCTCCACATGGACACATATGTCGTTTCCATGTCTTGGCTGTTGTGAGTGATGCTGCCGTGAATGTGGGGGGGGGGCGCGCAGAACTCTCTTTGCGTCAGTGGTTTCTTTTCCTTTGGGTCCATACCCCAAAATGAGATTGCTGGATCATGTGGTAGTTGTATTTTTAATTTTTAGTTTTCTGAGGAATGGGTAGAGGTGGTGTTGGAGACAGGACGGAAGAATGAACTTTGGGAGCAGAAAGACAAAAGACCAAGTGTGGGGGAATACACCGGAGTCGCTACTGAGCCTTGAGATGAGTCGGCGTCTGCCCCATTGCACACATCCCAAAGCCCGTCCCTGACTGCTCTCCACAAGCCTGAACCCATCTGGCCTTTCCCTCTCAGAGATGGCAGCTTCTCTCTCCACAGACATCCCCATATCCAGCCATCAGCAAACTCTGACCCTGCCCTTGAAAAGTGCCCCACACCTAGTTTCCATCCCCACCACCCAGTCTTTCGGTCACCTGGCTGACCTCCCGTGTCCTCCCTTGCCCCCTATGGTGCATTCCGGGGTTTGATTCTTAAAACAGGCTCTCATCATGTCATCCTCTGCCCCATCCTCTTCCCACCCGCCTTTAGGATGTTGCCCAGAGTTCTCCCCGAGGCGCGAGGCCCTCCCTGAGCCGACCCCTCCCATCACCACCTCTCACTCCACGTCTCCCCTTGCCCTCAGGGCTCCAGCCTGCGGCCCCTGGCAGCTACCCCAGCACCCCGAGCCTGCCGGGCAGCGAGGGCTCTGCGGTGCTCTGTCCCCCGCCTGGAATGCCCTGCACCCAGGCCTCCCCAGGCTGGTTTTCCTCCCCCTCCCCCCCACTCCTGCTGGGTTCCCGACCCCGAGTCTGTCTCCCTGTCTCCCGATGCTTGCTCTTCCCCTAAAGCCTTGCAACGGGGTGTCTGCCATTCACCCTCCTTCATTCACAACTCTACAGCTTTAGGAGTTCAGGTGAACTTTGAACTTTTTTGTTGTTGTTTGAGAGACGTGATCTTCTTTAAATGTACTTTTTAATTAAATGCAACCTCGACAACTTCCCCCTACTTAGCTCTCCAGTGATTAAGGGGTTCATGGGAGAGGGAGATTGACGAGGATTAGGTGCCGTTTCCCAGGCTTGGATGCTGTATTCCCTTCACTGCTAAAGCGTCGGCCTTGCTGCTGCGGAAGCTGCCTGGTGCCCATTTGTTGCTGACCTCTACAGAAAGCCTCTTTTGATTCAAAGCCTTCACCTCCAACCGCCTAAAACCAGCCTGGGAAATGTTCAGGTGGAAAACCACAGTAAAGTCTCCATTAAGGAAATGCTTGGGGGAAGGAGCATTCTAGTCAATTTAATTCTTGTTAACTGAGCACCACCAGAGTTTTTATCAGGAGCACGGCATTATGCGAAAGGAAGTTGACAAATTTTGGATGGAGACTTTATTTAAGCCCTTTCTCTGCCATTTGAAGTCACGTGACTCTGGGCCTCAATTTTCTCATCTATAAAAGGGGGGCCAATAATACCTCTCTTATTGTCGTGTCATTAGATTAAATGGGGAAGCGTTTGCAAGTCATTTATCGATCGATAGGCTTGGTGGCTACATGGGGGCTTGGTAAAGTGTGTTCCCTTCCCCCTCGTCCCTTTGTTTTCATTCTTCTCAGAAATAATTCTTAATACATTGGCATATAGCATTTTAAAAATCTTGTGTTAATATAGAACATTGAAGGAGAGGGTAATATTCCTGGTGGAGGTAGCAGTGACTCATTATTGTGGAATATTTATGAAAAAATAACCAATCATTAAGGATTTTGAGTGCTTTTGTATCTCAGACACTGTGGAATAGCAGAAATAAAGAGGTCATTTTATTCTTTTTGAAATGCCTAGGTATTCTTCTTTGCATCTCTCTTCTAAAAATTGAATGTGGGGAAAAACATTGGTGGATAAGTCAGCATGGCAGGTTCAAAATGGCAGATAAAGCATCTCTATTACCGCCTCTCACTTAAAAAACAAGTAAAAAACGTCTAAAAAGCAGTAAAGGAATAAGAGTCTGAGGAGCACAATGACACAAAGAAAGCGACAAGAACGACTCGCAGATGGGGGGTGAAACCGTTTCTGGAGAACCGCTCTCATGGCGGAATGGGGGCCCCGGGGGCGAAGGGAGTAGGCTGGGCTATGGAGGGGCTGATCATGACCTGGAGCTGGAGACAGAGGGAAGAGGGAAGAGTTTGTCTCTGGAACAATCCACTTCCTGCCCTGCTACCGTATGCAGAATAGTCAGCAGCTAAACAGGACAGACAGATGGACACCTACTAAGGTTCTCCTCCACCGAGGACAAATGGTCCAGAGGGAAAACCTCTGCACTCTGGGATCTGGGGTCTCTGCAGAATAGTAGTGACTCGGGGGTCATCCATCTGCCCATGCAGATTCGACTGAAATTTAAGTTCTTGAGAAGAAGAGAGTGCTCCAGCCTCGTGGGCTGTGCTGAGCACGGTCCCCGCTGTTGGGAGATCTGCGTTCTGGGCGCGCGGGTGAAATCGTACGGTGGCTTCTGTCAGCAGTTTCAACAGCACGTGCGCAGCTTTGCTCTGATCTTGCTGCGGGGGCTCCCAGGAGTCAAGGTCACCTCACCAGCAGGACCACAAATACTCCACTGAGGAATGACCACAGTTTAATCGCACCTCTTACCCCTGCGTCTCCAAAAGTGTCCTGTGCCCCAAATCAAACCCAAGTAGTCACTGGACTTGTCCAGCCGAGCCCGCGGGTGAGGCACCTGGCACAGCGTGTTGGTGCGTGCGAAAGTGAGTTACAGAAATACCACTGCTCAGTCTGTCGGTGTGGCCGGAACCCTCGACAGAGCGGTGCTGCCCTGTCCCACTCGCCCCCGAGGGGCGTAAGCTGGGCCCTGGCGCTTCCCGGTGTCACGCGCACCGTGTCCCGGGTCAGCGTGCCATCGAGGCCGACCAGCCGGGGGCCTGTCCTCCCCGGGCAGTGACAAGTGCTGAGCACAGGATTCCTCCTCTGCCACCGTGGCTGAGCAGTGATTAATGCCAAATTAGCACCTTGCTCAGTGACCTTTTAGCATTCGCCGCTGCTCTCCTTCACTTCACATAACTATCTGCAAATATTAGCTTCTCAGGTCATTTCTCCTCATCAGCAACTTTCACAGATGACAGGCAGGTTGTTAATCTGATTGGCAGTCAGCTTCTGTCCTTTGCCCCATCATGAAAGTGTCTCTGCTCGGGCATCTCAGGAATCCCATAAACAGCCCAGCGACCTCTACGATGTTCCAAGCAGAGAGCCTCAGAAGGAGGCTCCCACAGAGGCCCTGCCGGGCTCGCTTCGAGGGCAGAGAGGCTGGGAAGGGCTTGAAACCACCCCTGGGACTCGTGGAAACTGGCTTCTATCAACATCACCATGTATAGGTTAAAAAATTAATTTGTTGGCTCTGCACACACCAAGCTTCTTCTTTTTTCTTTTTTCTTTATTTTGTAATTCACATGAACCTTTAAATCAAAAATCACATACTACTTAAGCAGTGAAGGCAGAACACAGACAAGGCCAGTCCTTGTTTTCCCTGCCGTGTAGCCGGGCGGGTGGGCAAGAGTCTCACCGCAGAGTTGTCCCCAGCGCTGGGAATGGGGGCCTGGCGCTCCACCGTCAGGTACTAGACAAATCATTTTGCATTTGCAAAATCTAAATTTATTTTTATTTCCAGTCTCTGCCTTCTCCACTCTCTATCGAAATCCCTGTTCTAGAAATGTTGGATCCGTCTTCAGTTCCCCTAAATAAACAGCAGTAAAGTGTACTCTGGTTAGTTTAGTTTTGATATTACATGTATTTTAGAGAAAAGTGGCAAAGACGTGTCATATTTTTTTCTCCCTTGTCACCAGAAGTACGAGCTAAATTATTTATAGTCTGACACTCAAAAAACAGAGATGGATTCAGGATATTTACCTTTCAGAGAAGAAAAAGGGATTGAAAGTACACGGACAGAACAGACCACTTTGTTGATTGAATATGTTTGCTCTGGGGAGTCGCATTTGGGCCCAAGTGAGAACGCCAACCCCTTTCTAACACCACACGTGCCCAGCAGAGTGCCTGATGCGTGGAATATTTGTGGAATTGAGCAGACTTGATAAGAGTGGGTGGACTAGGTAACTCAATAAGCAGAGTCTTAAGTCAATGAAAAAATAAAGTCAGCAAACATTTTGGAAAATGCTCAACACTCTACAGCCCTTATCCACATGATGTCCAGGCGGCGGTGTAAGGCCCTGGGTCCCTTGACTTCCAGCCAGAATGCTCACTCACCGGCGATGGATTCCACCCTAGGCTCCTACGGTCTGATGAAGGCCAGTGACAGTGAGCATGCCCAAGGGCTCCCCGCAAGGGGTTGGGGTGGGGCTGTGACATTCGGGTGTCCTATCGGGGCGGCTTGACAAGATCCCCCGTTTGTTATGTTCCAGTCTTCCCATCTTCCGTACTTAGGAGAGTCCTGTGGACTTTTGCTTTCTCTGCCACAGGAGATGTCGGCACCCCCGAAACCATGCCGCCCGTCATTGTGATTCCTCCGGGCAACAGAAGTGTGGTGGCTGGGTCCAGTGAGATCACCTTGGAGTGCATCGCCAATGCCAGGTACGCGGCTGGTGCTGCCCTGGGGATACGAATCCATTCTAACTGTGATGAGATGGACCTTCAGTGGAAAGACACATCACACATGTGCTTGCTCTCCTAGCAGCAGTGGTCTTGTTTGTGCAGCTGGGCTACACGCACAACACGCATGGGAAGATAGGGACCCGACCCCCCAAGCCTGGGACCACAGGGCTTACATTGAACGTACTGTGGGTGCTGGTGGAGGGCGTCTGCGGAGAGTCCAGCTGAGGACGGGGCAGTTCAGTCCTCTGGGTGCAAAGGAGAGAGTTCGTCCCTCTTCTCCTCTGCAGTGCTAGGTGTCCTCGGCCTAGTTAGTGGTCGCTCCAGAATTCAGTTCCCGCAATCTCGCCTCCCATGTAGCCAGGTCCTCTAGTAGTATTTATTTTAAACATTCTTTTCCTGTGCAAATGGAATCATTAGCACTTATGGTCCATTGCTGCTGCAATTAGCTATCCTTGCTCAATAGCCCTTGAGCAGAATGTATTGTTGATGCGTGCCGTAAGGGAGTCGAGCTGTATCTGGATTGATTTTTAAATGTCTGTTGTTCAACCCGCCATGGTTCCTGGTAGAATTAGCTTTGTCAAGCTTGTGCTGAATGCCTGGAATTGTTAGTACTGCCATCTACCTGACTCACCCTCGCTGTCACTCATGCCCTGTGTCCTCCCAGGCCTGTCGAAGAGCTGCGTGTGAACTGGAAGAGGAACGGGGTGAGGATCGCCGGAGGGCTGCACAGCTTTGGGAGGCGCCTCACCATCGGCAGCCCGACGTCCGCAGACACCGGGGTGTACATCTGTGAGGCGACGCTGAGAGGGAGTGCTTTCGACGCAGCCACCGCGAAAGCCTTTCTGTCTATCACAGGTAACGCTGGCGGCAGAGGCGCGGCCCCCTCGCCGCGCGGCCCCCTCGCCGAGCAGCCCCTCGCAGCATGGCCTTGGAAGCAGCCCAGAATCAGCCACGTCTCCGCGGCTCCCTTTCTAACTCAGAAAATGAGGGCGACGCAGAGACTACCTTCCAAATTCACCCTGTTCTTTTTCCAAGAACATAAGCCCACTGAACGCAAAGCGCTGATGTTCTGAGTACTTCCAACAAGTGTTATTCTGGATCCTTCCGATCACAGAGCTTGGGAAGTGACGTGGTGAGGCCCTTGGCACATACGTCACCCTCCTGTGCTGGCCTCTCTGCCACTAAGCTTCTCTGTAGCCCTCGCTGGGCTATTATGGTCAGTTTTCAGAGATTATCCTATTACTGGTATTTTTTGACCCAGAAAAAAGAAGCTTTGGGATATTACCTTCTGTTAAATTAAAAGGTGAGAACAGAGCTCCTTCCTAGGACGTGCGCCAAGGGTCACTCCTGAGCCAAGAAGAGCAAGAAGATAAAATTCGGCACGTAGAGTTGCTCTAGACGCTGGAAAGTGTCAGTGTTGAGGGAGCGTGCGTTGTTCGGTGGCTAAGGGAATCCTCCGTGTATTTTCGGATTATGGTAAGATCACATTACATTGTGAAGCAAGTGCCTTTATTTCTCACGTTTCTTCGGCTTCTGTAATACTTTGTCTTCCTACGTGGCTGTGGTCACTATCGCCGTGAGCCGTCCAGTAGGATGGTGGCCGCGGCAGGTAAGAGGGGCCGTGGCGGCTGAGCCCAGGCAGGAGAATCTTTCTCTCTGGGAGGAAGGGAATGAGAACGAGAACGGTCAGATCAGCAGAGAGCCCTGGGGAGGGCTGTGGCTCCCACATATGTCACAGTTTGCCACTTTGCAGACTAAGAAAGAATAAAAGCTTGTGTTTTCATATGAAATTAGCAAGAGTATCAAGAAAGGCTGCATAGAAGGCGGTTTGCCTTGAGTGTTGTCACACTCCTTTCGATCATGAAGAAATGGTTCTGTGGCCTGAAAACCACCTGGCTGAATACACGCAAACCTGTCAGTCCCTCCGAACGGAGCATAAAGATTCTTAAAGTATCAGGAAGGCAGGCCTGAGTCGCACGTCGCTGCGGACTCCTAGTAGGGGACTGAGCCGGTTCTCTTGCTGCCTCTCTCCTTGTGCTTCCGACGGAGGGAAACACCGCAGTCCCATGCCCCGCGAGGACTGTCCTTCCTTCACGATGTGAGCATAGCACCTTATAGATGGAACCAGAATTAACATTTGAGGTGTGTCCGTCTCCAGGAGACAGGACTGTATTGTGTTAAAACATCTCAAGGTGATTTAAACAGGAGGAGAAATTTATCTTATGTTTGTTTCCATCATAATTCCTTTTAGAAATATTTAAATGTATCCTATGAACTTTGGTTTTGCGTTGACAACTGAATTCCAGAGGAGACTGTTGGCCACTCTGTGTTCCGGCTTTGAAGGCTTTGAAAGGGACACAACCCTGTGTCCTTGTGATGTTGGTTTACACTCCCTTTTATTCACCAGAATGTGCTGTGACAGGGAGGATTTTGTGAAGGCATCATCCTGGGAAAGCCCTGAGGGTGCCTCTGTGAATCCAGAGTGGTTGGGAGATGTCGGCCCAGGCCCGGCCACCTGGTGGGGGGCTCCCCGGGGCGCCGTGGGGCCGGCAGGCGTCCGGAGCAGGCGGGTGCAGGAAGGCGGAGTCGCGCTGGCTCTCAGGGACTCTCATCTGGGCTCACGAGACAAGACAGGGTCGTGGAGGCTGTCAACTCCGCTGGCGTGTTGCCTGGTTTCCCAGGTTTACACGGGAGCGCGGGCCTCGCCACCCCTGCCGCACGTCCTGGTGGCCTCCCGGGGCCGTGCTCCCGGCACCTGACCTCTGCTCCACCCTTTCTCCTGACCAGCCCTCCACGGGCTCCCGACAGCCCCCCGCTCCCCCCGCAGGCTGAGGCAGACGCCGCGGCCCGCCCGCCCGGCCGCAACTGCTCGCACCACCGTTCCTTCCTGGCGGCCTTCCCTGGCCACTGGAGCCGAGGCGACCTCCTGCAGCCCGCTGGAAGCGCGGGGTCTGAGGGACGGTGGATAAATAGCTGAGCTCCCTCCCTGCTGTGGCGGGGATGTGACCTGGACACCCTGGCTGCCCGTGTCCCCAGGGGTGAGCTGATTCGGTCACGTGCTCATTTCAGCTGACCTCCCTCTGCTGGTGGTGTTTCCACCCCCTGCCCGATCAACCGTGGGCCGCTGGGCTGGGCTGTGGGGACAGACCTGGGCTCAGACTCCCTCGGCACCACTCACGGGCTCGAACACGTCCCTTAGCCGCTGCTGGCCTCAGCTCCCACATCTGTAAACTGTAGACGAGGTAGGAAGTGATATGGGTGCTGGTCACAGACGCCCGGAAGCAGCGGCTTCATGCGTCGTGGTAGAGCGCGGCGTTGTTGAAGTTGTTTACCGACACACACTTCACGGTCCCTGAAATCAGGGTGTGTCTCACGATCCCTGGAAGCAGTTTCTTTCTTGGGGATAAATACAGCGAGGCTGCCTCTTACCCACAGCTGCAGTGCCCCAGATTCGGTGGGACAGAGCGTGTACCTCCTCCTGTCCACACTGACAGACCAACACTGGCTCCTGCCACTGCCGTTCACACGCTTCCCGGCTTCTGGGAGGGCCCGTGTCCCCTCACGCCGCCCGCACTCAGACATGCGTCGGGGCGAGTGGCTACTGTCCCCAGCCGTCTCTGTGCGTCTCGGTCTGTTCTGGTTTGCAGACGCAGGTCATTCAGGAATTCCAAAATCGCATCATTAAAATCACAGATTCCTCGTACCCTCTCCTGGCTGACGCCAATGCCACAATCAGGAGTTACAGCTGTACTGGAAGGTTCTCTAGAGCTGAGACTGAGCCGCTCTTCAGCGCTTGAATCCCAACATAAGATGCTTCCTCCCCTCTCCTCCCCTCCTGCTCTTCCTTCCTTTCCTCCACTTAACATTTCTTGAGTCTACATCTTGGACACCGTGCTGGGCATTGGTGACGGTGCTGCGAAAAAGTGGCCGTGGCCCCCGGCATCCGGGAGCCCTGTGTGGAAGGCAGGCCCTCACGAGGCAGTTACGACTCAGCGGAGCACGCCCGCGCAGACAGCGAGGGGCGCCTGACCCCACGCGGCGGGTGCCGGGGCCAGAGGCTCTCCGGACGTCCGGCCAGGATGGAACCCTGCGGCGGGCCTTGTAACCCATTCACGCTGGTTTAGGATGAGCTCAAGATGTCTTCTTTCTGGTTTTACATATGGCGACGGTGGAAGCACCCACATTAATCATCGGTGCCCTGTGACACCTGGAACTTACCTGTACAACAGGTCATTACCGAATGAAGCTCAGAAAATAGAGCTGTTACAGAACTGTTTCTAAAACAAGAGGGAAACTTGTACGAGGCCAACACCAGTGGCGCTTGGGTCATTTGCTGAATGCGGGATGGGCAGGCCAGCTGTGATACCCCGGGATGGAGCGGGGTTCAGGAGGCAGGGGGCCGCGAGCGTGCTCTTCCGGGCCGCCTGGCCATCTCAGCCCCCCACCCCTGCTGGTCTGCCAACCATTTGTGGAGTACAGTGTGTGCAGGACCCTCCTGAAGGGCCAGCGTGGGCAGAGGACGAAGGAGGGTGTGCAAAGATGAAGGGGATGCAGCTGCTCCCCTGAAGGCCTTCAAGGATGTCAGGTCTTTGGTGATCTCCTGTATCCCTCCATCCATCGGATAGTTTTTAAGTGTCTCCCCAGAAGCTACGACAGGCACTACCAGCACAGAGATGGGGAGGACACAGTTCTGCTCCGAAGAAGGTCCCACGTGGAGGTCGGGGGGACCTCTGCGGAAGGAGGGCGCTAGGGCCGATCTTGAAGACCGACTCGGGATTTGCCAACAAGCCGGGTCTTCTCGTGCTGTGGGCTCTGGACTCCCTTCTCGGTCTCCCCTTCCAGCGGCAGGAAGGTTGCTGCTTTTAGGGGTTCCGGGGATAGGACTGGGCCCAGCCAGCTAATCCAAAGTCAGCTGTCCATTTCAAGATGGACAGCCTTCACCACACCTGCAGAGGCCGTCTTGCCACATAGTGTGACTTGCTCCCAGGTGTCGGTGACTAGGGGGTGGACACCTTGGGGCCATTCTTCCCACCACAGTGGACAAAGACACCACGTGTGGATGACGGGTGGCAAGTCAGGGACTTGGGTCTCGCGGTAAGTCCTACTCAGGACAGGCCCTGCCTCTCAGATGTGGGGACTTTGGCAGGAGAGCATGAAGAATCCTTGGGACGCATGGACCATCTGCCGTAGCTGCCTCCACGAGGCCAGGATGAGCACTGTACGGCCCTGGCATTTCGGAGGGTGGGGGATTTGATAGAGGCCTTGGACATAGGCTGCCTGGGAGGCATCCCACCTCCTGTTCTGAGGCCTGGGCAGTGAAGGATGATCGGCGTGGCTGGCCGTTTCTCAACTCGGGATGGGAACCTTTTCCTGACGTCTTCCTATGGTTTCAAGAGAGATGAACGTGTTTGTTTCAATCCCCAGTTTTACTGGCTGTAGCTGTGATACATTTTTGAAAGTCCGGTGTGCACCGGTATCAGCACTGTGCCCTTTCTAGAAAGGTCGCTGCCAGTTAGCTAAGATGCGCACTTGCCCCTCAGGTTAAGTGGCTGCAAGAGTCTGTGCACAGGAGAACTAATTCACAACGAACTCACCATTCACCCCACAGCCCTCGCGTCGTGGACATGCCTGGTGCGCCTCCACTTTTGTCCTTAGGGCTGACTACGTGTAAAAGTAGCTGGGGGTTAAGAGAAGAGATCTTCCGAGCACCTGTTGAGTTATGTTGACATGAAGGGTCAGCTGTGGGCGAAATCGTGACACATACGTAGTGGGGAAAAGAAATACGATTACCGTCAGAAGCTACGGGGCCTTTCAGGGTCTTGGCAGCTACTCACCCACTCTGCTTCGCTCAGCCGCCTGGAAAAGTTTCAGGAACAAGGCAGGAGTATCAGTAAAAGAACAAACATGCTCAGCCCGTGCCGTTCCTGGCCTTCCTAGTTGTCAGCCATGCAAGCCTCCTGGTTACTGGCTCCAGAGGAGAGAGACGGCACTTGGCAACATTGGCAGGACACCCTTCCAGACTGTGCCCGAGGAGCCTCGCGGCTCTGCGGTCGGTGCTGCCGAGTCTGTGGGGCGGGTGCGTTTGTGCCAGGCTCCCATGGTAACTGTCTGCAGTAGGGAATGGCGGTGTTCACAGATGAGTGGCCCCGGCCAGGCCTCTAATGCCCTCCAGCCCCGGAGCCGTCCGCTCAGCTCGAGCCCGCTTCGGGCCACAGTGTGACAAGCACCTGTTGTCTCCGACCCCGGGCTAGGTCCTCCCCGGCCCTGGGGGGAAGCTGAGTGGCATTGCAGAGTGAGGAGGAGCGGCATCGGGACACTGGCCCTGGCGCCCAGTGCCTGAGGGAAGGCCGTCTGGTCCTGTAGATGTTGACCATTTCTACGTGCGGGTTTCTGTTATCAAAATGTACTTCCTCTGGGATGAATCCCGAGGGACTTGGGCCAAGTGGAAAAAGCCAATTCCGAAGGTTACACACTGTGATTCCATTCCTGTATCATTCTTGAAATGACAGAATTACAGATGGAGAGCAGATGAGTGGTTGCCAGAGGTGAGGGATGGGACGTTGGGGTGGCCATGGTGCTAAAAGGGCAGCGTGTGAGACCCTTGCGTGACGGCCCCTCTGCCTCTTGACTGTGGGCACACAGGCCCGCTCACTAGTGACGTCGTCTAGGGCTAAACCCGCACACACGCATGCGTGAGCACACACGTACAAGCCAGACCGCAGAGGGGAAAGTAGGGTAGGTCGGTGTCTCAGGTGTGATGTTGGGCTGTGGTTTTGCAAGATGTCACCATTGGGGGAAACTGAAGGAAGCCTCGGATCTCTATTATTTCTTACAACCGCATGGGGCTCTGCAATTATCTCAAAATAAAATGTTTAATTTAAAAAAGGAGAACCGTAATTAATCACAGGCAAATGTTGACTCTGTCACTTAGTCTTTTTTTTTTTTCCTTTTCCCTCACGTCCCTTTCATCAAACCACAGAGGTAGATATCGACTAGCATTCACTGATGAATATGGGGCATGACCCGCACACGAGGGCCGTGACAGGATGCAACTCCTGGATAGTTGGAATATAGATTTTGCTGCTGTCACGATTATTGATGAAGGAAGTGTGGCTGAATATGAACATGTGGGCGTGCAGCGAAGACCAGCTTGAAAAGATACCATGAATCTTTGCACTGTGTCTTTCCACCCAGTCTACACACACCCAAAATCCAGTAGAGGGCTCTGCGTCCACCTGGCAAGAGTGCAGCCCTGGCCTCAGTCAGATGGCATGCACCCAAGTGACCCGGGTCATCGCAGAAGGGGTGCTGAACTCCCATCTCCACGGAGAAACCTGCAGCCTTTTCTTAAGTGCTCATGTCTTCTTTCCCTTTTGTGGGTTCCAGCCTGTTTTAAAGACCCAGGGGGTGAGGAGGCATGCCAAGCTACACCACCCACATCCCACACCCCACACGGCAATAGTGGAAATCAGCCACTCGGGAAGACAGTGCCCAGAAATTAATTATCACACAGAAAGTGAATACAACAGCCTTTTGTTATCGCAATAATGAAATCACCAGCACCTTCGTACCGGATGAATCTGGCCATGCCACTGTTGAAGTTCTGCTGAATAAACTGAGAAAGATATTGCAATTTACTCTCCAAGAAGATTCACTGCTTAATACACCCACTATGTTTTTGTTGAATAGGCAAGGGGAGTAGCTAGAGATACACAAGCGGGCAAGTTTCCTCTGCTCCTAAAGATGGACGAGGGGCCCTTTTTCTTTCTTCTCTTTGCTATTATTTAGCCTTCCGTTGAAGTATTAAATCTATATTTTGGAGAAAAAGAACCACTAAGACTTTAAAAAATACGTTAATGGGCCACCCCATTCCCTGACACAGGCCCGTGCCTGGGTGTGGCGCTTTATTTGACATGCTGCACGCATCGGGGTTTGGTTTAGATACTGAAACAAACTAGCCTGTAAAACACTGTGCTGTAAATATAAACCTTTATGAACCTCTCAGGATAGTCCTTCTAAAATGTGAATTAAGATATTCCATGATTCAAGCCTGTAAACGGAAAAGTAGCCATCACCCCGAGTAGTAATTTGCTTCCCAAAACCTTAGAATATAAACCGCCTTTGGCCTCTGCTCACTGAATTCTGAGTTCGTGTGTACGATGGCGACTAATGAACTTTCCAGAAATAGTTTTTAAAAGGAGTTCAAACTCTTTCAGTCTAGACAGGTCTCCTGAAATACACCTCTTTTGCTTAGGGGCTATTTTGTTCTTTTCTTGTTTAAAGAGCCACCATATTTTACTGCTGAGCCCGAGAGTCGGATCTTAGCGGAAGTGGACGATACCGTGGACATCATGTGTCGAGCCATGGGTGAGTGTGGGGAGGCTGCTCCTCAGGCCGCCGTGAGGTGGAGGGACCAGAGGGGCACTTCCGTTGCTATCAGGACACACGCTGAATGTGATGTTAGTGACAGGGCCTTTAGATCCTAGCAGAACTCAGTTACCGAGCATGTGAACTTGAGGAAGGTGATCTTGACCTTGCTGAACTGTTGCTTCCTCGCCTGCAGAGCAGAGATAAGAATATTCACCCAAGGGAACAACAAGGAGTCCTTCACCCCATCCAAACCCACGGAGAGGGACAGCCTTGTCCTCTCGACTCCCTTTCAAACGCTCTGGTTCCACCAAGGCTTGGGCAGGAGATGCTTTCCCGTCCATGGGGTGATTGGGACTGGTGACCACGTGCACTCCGGAGTAAGAGAGATGGTTTTAAATTCTTTGAACAGGAAACCTTCCTTTTTTTTTTTTTTTTTTTTTTTTT